CGCTGAGAGTGTGTGACTTGCCCAAGGTCACCCGGTGGGTTTCATGGCAAGTGGGGATTCAAACCCTGGTCTCTGGAGTCATTGTCCAATGCTCAAACTACTAGCAGGGCAACCCCCAAATGCAGTTGTATGGATCAATGAACCCTTTCTAGCAATGTTCATGTCCATCTGGATGCAGTCTTTTGTAAAGCTAAATACTCACAGGATTATATTATTGCTGGGAAAATTCTGCTCTCTCTCCACTCAAGCTACTGTGGGAATTGCAACTAAACTCAGAGGAAACAGGAAAGATGATGGTGTTGCTTGCCAGTGTCCTTCCTAATAACTACAGAGTTTTGGCATTGTGACTTTGCAATCCCTCCGTCCAGTCCATTGGGAACAGTGATGCATGTGTATATAGCTTCTTTTTAGGCAAAGGGCTTTCAGTTCATTATTTCTGTCATCTTTAGGGGAGACCACAATGTCTTGATCTCCCTCTATTGCAGATCAAGGTAACTGTGGGGAGAAAATGTCCAGCCATAGTTGGAAACCTTTAGCTTTGCCAAAAGAAATGATAGACAGTGCACCGGTATGCATGAATACAAAAACATTTATGCCAACTGAGTTCAATGGGACCTCTTGGGACTGCATCTTCAAAAATGCAGGCTATCTACTGGGGTGCCCTGGCTAATGCTGCACTACACAAGTTTTCTAAGACCAGGGGTAGGCAACCTTTTTGCGACCTGGGCCGGTCCCCCGAAGCCCAGGTCTCCGCTGGGCCGAAGGGGGGGGGATGGCAGCGCACGCCCTCCACTGCTGTGTGTGACCCTCCCGCACACGCCGCTACTGCAGCGTGCGTGGCTGCAGCCGCTGCGGTGCATGTGGTGGCTGCCATTTTGAAAATCAAAATGCCGGCCGCGACGCGTTTGCGCATGCGCAGTACTCCTGCACATGCACAAACGAGTCGTGGCCGCCATTTTGTTTTCCAAAACGGCAGCCGTGACTCGTTTGCACATGTGCAGTACTCCTGTGCATACACAAACACGTCACGGCTGCCATTTTGATTTTCAAAATGGCGGCCGTGGCGTGCGCAGCCACACGGAAGAGAAAATGCGCCGCGATAGCGGCAGGGATCGGCCTGGGCTGGTAAGTCCGGCGACCTGGGCCTTAACCGGCCCGGGGACCGTAGGTTGCTGGTCCCTGTCTAAGACTGTATCCAAGGCCTTTCATATTTCATGTTCTCAGTGATTTTTTTTCTGTCTTTTTTTTTTTTTATCTGCACTTTACATTGCTTCTACATGGAAATTAGGCTTTCTAACAGTAACAATCTCCAGATGGGTAGCCGTGTTTGTTGCAGTAAAAACAAAGCCTCAAAGAACTTAAAATTGTATAAATGTATTACAGGATATCTGTACAGTTAAACATCCCAGTGTAGACTCCTCTTCATCATACATGCAAAAAGGCTTATGCTGAAACAGAGTTGATTGTAAGCTGCTATAACACAGTGTTGCTTTTAATTTCTAATGGAGATCCTATCCAATAGAGATTTCAATAAAATTTCATATATATGTGTGCCTTCAGTAATATTTCGCTTCTGACTTAATGGCAAATCTAAGGTGAATCTATCACGGGGTTTTCTTGGGATGTTTCTTCAGAGGGGGTTTGCCATTGATATCCTCTGAGGCTGAGAGAATGTAACTTGCCCAAAGTCACCCAGTGGGTTTCATGGCCAAGTAGGGATTCAAACCCTGTTCTCCAGAGTCATAGTCAAATGTATAAACCACTACACCACACTGGCACCACACACACACACACACACACACACACACACACACACACACACACACTTTCTGAAAGTAGAGTTCGCCTCATTTTTTTTTAATCCTACAAAATTCCGTTATAAAATACAGGCAGTCTTTCATTTCTGACTGTAACACTGGTGTGTCCAAGGTGAAGCAATGGCTGCTGTTACAGATACTTATCATTTATAGCATTGTTCGTGCAACCTTATTTTGTCCAGGAAGTGGGTGAGTGAATTCAGAAGATTAAATCATAATTTGCATTCATAATTACCTCATCACATGCAAGTTTTGTTTTTGTAGATTGGTAATGCTAAAAAATATATAAAACATTTTAACTGGAATGAATTTAGCCAGACTCTATCATGTGACAGTTGCAACTGTTAGAACCAGTGTCCTGTGACAATGTATTTCATCATTGCCATGCATGACAAAGGGGTGTACAACGTGTGGCAAATGGGCATACAATGGGTCCTTGTTATCTGCTGGGGTTTGGTTCCAGAACCCCCCTTGGATAACAAAATCTGTGGATGCTTGAGTCTCATTAAATACAATGGCATAGTAAAATGGTGTCCCTTATTTAAAATAGAAAATCAAGGTTTCCTATTCAGAATTTATACTTTTTCTGAATATTTTGAAGTCGTGGATGCTTGAATCCATGGATAAAAAAATCTGTAGATAAGGAGGGCCAACTGTATATTTTTATTCCATATAATTGTAAGCTGGCTCTTTAAAAAAATAAAAGTTGTAGTGTACATAATTATATTGACAGATCTACAGTATACACAGTTGGAATCACTGCATACAGTAATGATCTTGTAACCCAATCAAGGGTCTCTCAACCATGTAACTGTTATGGGAAAGTGAAAAATCTCAGTTACTGCTGGCTGGAAAAAAATGCTGTATGGCTATTCACTTGGCACTGAACCAAGGTTTATAGTAGAGTGTGAACTCACAGAAGGAATTCCATCATAGTTTTCATATCCTAAAGCAAGTTATTTCTAGCAAATTCATTCATCAGCTTGACATTTCCCTGCTTTCATGCTGGTTTCATTTAGTGTGGCTCATTGCTTTTTCAATTATTCGTTATATGCTGGGCCACCAGAGTTGATCCTATCCCTTTGCTCCAGGTTGCACTGTATACTAGCTAACACTTCTCACACATGTATTATACCCAGTGCAACTGGTGATTGGAAGTCTACAAGCAATGGAAACATTTCATCAATAAAGTGATGGGCCTCGGAAAAGTCATGGGTTTGGGAGGGTGGATGAGTGATACAAGATATTTTGCATGAAATGGTTAAAATATATTGTGGCAAGGATGTGCACCACTTGTTTCTGGGTGATAGCAAAAAGTTGAATATGGATACACAGTAAATTCACAGAACACATTATGGACTTCAGTATGATTTATATCAGGCAGAATATGAACTAGAGGTGGGAGGCCTATTGGTCTCCAGATAGTATTGACTTCAACTGCCACAGGTCTTGGCTATAATAACAAGTGGTAAGGGATTATGGGAGTTGTAGTCCAAAGGAGTTTGACCTTTGGTTTCTCCTGCTTTCATTTTTGGCTGAAAAATGAAACAGAAATGTGCCCTCATGCAGTGGCTGCTCACTCCTTTAAAACTTTTATAATTATGCCATATAGTAACTATGAACAACAGGCACATAGGTAATGATAAATATACTCCCTTCTTCAGTAACAGTAGCTACTTAGATATGAGTCACCGCAGTTGTACAAAGTAGTTCCAACAAATATTTAGCCTCGGCATTTGCAGGAATGGAAATGTATTTACAATTGTATAATAAATTGATAGAGGTTCAAAGAACAAGGGGGAGGCATCGCTGTGTTTTAAAACTAGTATTCAAAAAGTTGTATAACAGCAAATTTCATCTAAAGTTATTGTGTTTTACATACCTGTGAATACTGAAGATTGGAGATAGTGGCAATGCCTCTTGTTTCACTTCTGCATATGCAGCAGCATGAACAGGAAACAAAGTGGTAGAATGGACCATAAATTATGCCACTATTTTTGTATTGTACAATAAAATTATCATATTTTGCAACTGATACAATGGTGTAATTAGGTATAAGTTCCTTTTAAAAATGCTAATATTATAATAGAAGTCCATTGCCTGCTTAACTAATGTCTGCTATTAACTAATGTCTGCTATTAATACCCTTTACGTGGGTCATTACTGGGGGACTTTTTGAGGGAGAAGCCCACAGTCCTGTTTCACTGTTTACTTAAGATTTCTCAATATGGACACTGAGCGAGCTGCTGCAGTCACCTGCAACACTTGTGGGATGTTTGTCTTCTTGCCTAGAGATGTGGGGAACTTCACCTGCACCAAGTGCGAATTGGTAGACCTCCTAAAAGAGAAAGTACAACATCTGGAGCCTGGGTAGCTACACTTCAGCATATTAGGGAACAATAGGTTTTCCTGGATAGAGCAGAACGAACAGTCTTGGACAGGGACCACAGCGAAGAAATTGTTGAGGAGGAGGTCACTTCATGCACACAGGAGGTGGACACGTGGAGGGACGTCACACACAGAAGTAGGGAAACCAGGGATCGTTCTGGGAGCTTGCAGCTACAGAATCAATTTGAAGCTCTCTCCCTTATCAAGGATGAAGAGGAAGAACAGTAGGAACAGTCCTCAGGGACAGTGCAAGGGACCCTGAGAGTACCACTGCAGGGAACAGCCACTGCTAAGCCTCAGAGGAGGTGTGTGGTGGTGGGGGGGACTCCTTGTTGAGGGGTACAGAAGCAGTGGTTTGTGGGCCTGACAAGATGTCCTGGAAGGTGTGTTGTCTCCCTAGGGCAAAAATCCGTGATGTGACAGCGAGACTGACAAGACTTGTCAAGCCTACTGACCATTACCCCTTCCTCTTGGTCCATGTGGGAACCAATGATACTGCAAGGCAAAGTCTTGAGAATATCAGAAGGGATTATGAGGCATTGGGTAAGAAGCTGAAAGAGCTGGATACTCAGGTTATTATGTCATCTCTTCTCCCAGTTGAAGGGCATGGTCCAGGAAGGGAGAGGAAGATAGCAGATGTGAATAACTGGCTCCGTAGATGGTGCCACCAAGAACGATTTGGATTCTTGGATCATGGGCTGCAGTTCCACAAGGGTAGACTTCTAGCAAGAGATGGGCTACATCTCACACAAGTTGGCAGAAGCATTTTTGCCAATAGTCTCAAACATTTGATCAAGAGGGCTTTAAACTGAGTCATGTTGAGGAGGGAGATAGTATCTTGGAAGGTATCATGGAAGGCAGGAGTACATCATGGGCTGGAAATAATAGTCAAAGTGTTATAGAGGGAACAAGGCAAATGATGCAAAGGCCCAACAGTGGGAGGCAAAAAAAATCACACAGGCAGCAAGTGGGGAGGACACATGCTCTTAGATATCTCTTCACTAATGCACAGAACATGGGAAATAAACAAGATGAACTTGAACTCCTAGCACAACAAAGCAAATACGATATAATAGGCATCACTGAAACCTGGTGGGAGCCTAATGATTGAAATGTAGGAATAGAGGGGTATAACATTTTTAAGAGAAATAGGCCAAAGAGGAAAGAAGGAGGAATAGCATTATAATTCTCTGGGAGGAATCTGTTACAGCCTATAAAAACTAGGCTGTCAGTGACCTCCCAAAGGGCTTTCTCTGCTTCAGCTCCCAGATTATGGAAAGGCCTGCCAGATGAGATCCGTCTTATTACCACTTTTGACAGCTTCATAAAAGCTGTCAAGACTAATCTTTTCCGGCAGGCCTTCCCTGAATAATTATCCCGTGAGAGCTGTTTGAGAGTGGAACACACTCACTTGGAGTGTAGTGAAATCTCCTTCTTTGGAGGTCTAAACAGAGGCTGGATGGCCATCTGTCAGTGATGCTTTAATTTTGAGTTCCTACATGGCAGGGGTTTGGACTGGATTGGATGGCCCTTGTGGTCTCTTCCAATTCTATGATTCTATACCATACTTCAGATAATTTCCCTTTATTATTGTTGTTGTTATTAAATTGTCTATTGTTTTTGGAATACGAAATATGACGTGTGCTGTGAAGACACACCCAAGTAAAGGTGGTGTCAAATATGGGTGTGCAACACCAGTACCCTGGTGAGATCAAACTCTTTTACTCAAAAAGGCTCCAAAGCTGAATGTAAAGTCCAAAAGGGGGGAAATTATTTTAAAGAACAAAAGAAAAAGGTTTCTCCTCCCCAGCTCTAACAGGCTTAAAATAAAAGGTACTTAACAGTTTAGGTTTCAGCAATCTTCAAGGTTGTCATCTCTCTGGGTTTGATCTTGGATTGATCTCCTTCTCAATGAAGCTGGTGCAGGGTCTTTCAGTTTCTGGTGCTCTTGACTTCTTTATTGTTGATGTTTAATAGAATTAACTGCTTTTGATAACTAAATTGGCTAATGGTAAGTAAATTGGCTAAATGTGGTAAGTAAATTGGCTAAATCAGGGGTCGGCAACCTACGGCCTGCGGGCCACACCCAGCCCGCAGACCCCCACTGCCCGGCCCCCGTGGACCCCCGCCGGCCACCACCGCGTGAGCCACCGCCATTTTGCTTTTCATTTTGCTTTTCTTGGAGGACTGACACCACTAAGGGAAGCCTCCCGGTGTGTGTGCACACACGACAGGCCTCAGTGCCATCTCTCCCTCCCTCCCGGCCCGTCGGCAAAAAAGGTTGCCAACCCCTGGGCTAAATGGTAAATAAATTGGCTAAATGGTGTAAGAAATAATAATAATAAATTTTATTTGTAACCCACCCCTCTGTGCTGCAATCGGGGCGGCGTACAACA